ACATACATACATACATACATACATACATACATACATACATACATACATACATACATACATACAAACATACGCACATAGGCACATACATGCGCAAATTTCGTATATCTAACCATGCATTAAGATAAGAGGATAGTACAGTAGGCTAGTTATGTAAGGAGCCAGCCTTTATCTCATCCACTCTTTGGTTATGAATCAATTTCGCCCATCTGAAAGCATGTATGATAAGCATGAAGTAGCCAACCAAATCATGTGATGACCCATTATGATCATAAAATTGGTTATAAGGAGGGAATAGGCTTTCATCAGAGTACCTTATCTCTTGGTTCGGTATTTATTTCTGTAGGTCGTGAAATATACCTTCTTGTTCTGAAGTTCTCTGTCACGGAGGAGACATGACTTAATCGGGGTCGCAGAACGGTGAGCCAGGTTGCCATAGTGACTATAGTAGCTCCCAATGGATTTGGACCTGTATGACTTATATGGGGAGGACTGCAGACAAGCTGGCCTCACTGATGTCTTCTTGAAGGCACTAACAATTTGCGAAAACGAAATGAAACCACTTTTATACAACGAAAGGAGACCGTGGTCACACCATCTTGGTATTCATACCAATGTTGAGACCAGATTGCTTAGTATACTCTCTTTAATAGAGCTTCACCAGTCGGTATATGTTCAATTGAGATGGAAAAAATTCTCAATCGCCAGGAAAGGCTCGAAGTCCGAACAACTTGGTTGTGTGTGTGTGTGTGTGTGCGCGTGTATAGAAAACCAGATGAAGATATTTCTGCTTTCAAGGCTCCCAACAACGGGACGTACTCGAGTCGCGGCGTCCACCAGCTCAAGTGAAGCGGGGCATGTGTGGCAAATGGCTCCCGCCACTGATTTGGCCACCGCTTCGGCCAACGTCATCAAAGGGACACCGGCGGCGTCTGCTCGTCGAAGAGCCGCCCAACTGGCCCATTCAACTGGACATGAGTCAGACGTGTCTGTGTCTTCGGGGCCCATCATTTCTGGCGACGCCGACGCTCGTGAAGGAACTCGATATTCGCCCAATGTTGCGGCTGAAGAAACAAAATAAACAACAAAAGAACCAAAACTAGGTGAATCTGTCCCAATAGAAGCGGTCTGAACACTGTACTGCCAAATCACACACTGAAAACCCAAATGTAGCTCCACGAAATGTACACACCTAAAGGCCTCACGAATGCTACTAAAAAGAGATTATCAA